CGATCGGTTAATGCGACATCAAGTGTTAATGCGATTGACCTACATGCGCGAATGGGCCATGCTCCAGTCAAAGTTCTTTGCAAGATGGTGGCCAACATCACGGTCAATGATACACCATCCCTGCCCAAATCGAATGGACCGAGTATGTGTCGAATATGTCAACAAGGAAATCTGGTCCAAAATTATTCCCGATCAACCGCGACAAGCACATCTATAACACCCTCGAGATGCTTCACTTCGACATCTACAAGCCGATGAAAGGAAAGTCCCTGGGTGGCAGAAAGTATCTGCTGCCTTTTTTTAGATGAAGCAAGCGGATGCTTGGAGGAGTTTGTGGCAAAGTCACTACTCAAATTTTGTACGAGGATCGGTGGCCACATCTTTAAAGCGCCGCTTACTGGTGGAAAAGGAGGCCATGAGACTCGGCGATCCAATACGGAGGTGGAAGATGATCTTAACGGGATCGGCGAACCGATCCAACTGTCGTTAGACTAATGGGTATGGATCGACCTGGGACGGAGCGATCTGGAACGATTTACATGGAACAATCTGGGACAAGGATCTGGGACCGGGTGATGGGATATGACTCTGCGACGAAGGTGTAACTGTGGTAAAGTCACTAATCAAATGATGGGACGTGGATCGGTTTCCACCCAGTTAAGATGTCACCCACTGGCGGAAGAGGTACGCCTAGGACCAGGCGATGCAACGTGATTTGAGACGGGGCGTAGAAAGGGGTGATTCCAACGGTGCGATCTGGGACGAGGGACTGGATTGAACCGAACGACCACTCTAAAGGCTGATCAAAGGAAAGGATGTGGATGTTGAAGCAGAATCATTTGAGAAAAGTACGCCTGGGACCAGGCGATGCGACGTGGTTTGAGACGGGGCGTAGCAAGGGGTGATTTCCACGGTGCGATCTGGGATGAGGGACTGGATTGAACCGAACGACCACTCTGAAGGCTGATCAGAGGCAAGGATGTGGATGTTGAAGCAGAATCATTTTGATAAAGCATCGGAGTGCACACAATGAACGGAAGAACATATATGGCCGGATTGTACTGTGTCGATCCTCAACAATCTCGAATTGGGCATCAGATCGGTCATGATCCCCACTGATTATGGATGTATCGTTGATGAGAATTTTGGATCATGACAAACATGCTTGTTGAAGGTCCATGAGTGATGTCTCAAAAGTTCAGATCGAAAGAGCCAGTGGAAGCCGGTTAAATTGACGTCGCAAAATGGATTTAGACGCCTTCGGCATTTGGGCACTATTTTGGGCTTTTGGGTACCAAAAATGGGTATTTGGTACCCCATTTGGGATTTGGTCCTCTTTTGGCGTTCAGGTACGGTATCGGGAATATTGGCGCTATCATTGGAGTACAGGGCACGAAATTTCGACACGTGGCAAGGGGGCGATCCAGATTCAAGGCGATATCGGTTTGAAGAGTGACCTATAGTTAAGAATAGGCTTAAGGGTAGGTTGGATAGTAATTTGGTTGGTTAATAAACAGACTTGAACTCTACTTCTTCTGCTCACGACGCACGTTATCCTCCCCTCTTCTCCAGGCAAGATTGATTTGGCTTCCCCGGCGGGTTAAGGCACGCGTGTTACAGGGACACAGAAGACCGATCTTGGATTGTTGGCCAAGATCGAGAAGAGCGATCCCGGGATATCTGGCCCGGATCGATCAAGTACTCACACTCAACTCAACTGCTAGGGTAGCAGCACACAACGGAAAAGGAAAAGGATTTTGGACACAGGATCGCGAGACGGCTCAAGTGGTCAGAAGATCTGGACAAGGCGTTCAAGACAAGACCGAGCAGGATCGAAGCGATCCCCTGGACAGATCGGCACGTTTCATTTTGGCGAAACAAGACACCGATCTACCCAAATTGCGCACTTCCGGCAAGATCGGCCGATCCCAAGACCAGATCGGACCGATCCCAAGGCAAGATCGACGCAGGACTTTTATTTGCTGAGTGAAGATTTCCGCACAGCAAAGACCCCGATCTCGAAGACAAATCAAGATCGGTGCGATCCAAGATCGGGATCGCAGAACCCCCGTTCGTGGTGTGAAGATTTCCGCACCGGAAGCGAACCCTCAACCCAACCTCTCAGCGAGATCGACATCTCCCAAGGCCGTTACGAAGAGCTCAAGCCAGCCCAACCGACGGGTACACAAGGTGAGCACAAGGTCATACAACAAGGCACGGATCGGAGTACCCCCTCCGTGAGTCGGCAAGTCTGGGCAAGTGGAAGATCGACACTCATACAAGCAATTTTGTGAGATCGACTTCACCACAATGGTGCGCGTGCCCGGATCTTCTGAGGCCTCTGGATTTCACCGTGAGTCCACTGGCGAAGATGTCAAGATTAAGCAAGAACCTGGGATTGAAGTGTCAGCGACAAAGGGATCGACGCAGACACGCAGAAGCACAAGATCCTCAGATCATCAGAGTTTTGGGAGGGGCTCTGATGAAATGAAAATGAAAGAGGAAGATCGAGAGATCGATCTGGAAGATAAACCTCAATTCCCTCCTAGGGTCCCTTCGGGGGCCACCGCAGATCGCTCTGCAAAGAGCGATCTGCTGGATGAAAATCCAACGGTGAAAACCAAATCGGCGAAAGCCAAACCCTATATCTTAGTCGATAGATCGCCCGACCTCAAGCCGAAGAGCACAATCGCGAGATCGACCACATCAGAACGATCCGCGACGAGATCGATGGGATCAGATGTCAAAGATCGCCAGATCGGCCGAACCGTGCAATCGAAGATCGGAGCCAAAGAGGAATACGATGAAACACCAGATAAGATCGCGATGCCAAAGACGGAATATAACCCAATAAAGATCGCGTCCATGGAGAAGGAGACGACGGGTGAAGCGCGGGAGCGTGCAAAATGGCAGTACTATTATGGCCAGTTGAAGACGCTGCTCAAGACGGACCCAGTGTTCAAGATGTTAAGGCCCAAGGTGATTGGTCCTCTGGATAAGCCGATCTCGGTCCCACTTCACGGGACCAACAAAGTCGACGAGATCAATGTGATTTTGCAGATGTTGGACGACATGGGTATCTGCCCTGACGCTTTTGATGGAGATGAACTGCTGAGTTGCAGCTTGGAACAGTTGAAGGACGCGGCGAATGAGTTTGTAGAGATCATGATAATGCTGGTGGGCAAAGCGAATACTCCTGAAGACAAGATCGGGACGCCCTCGGGCTCGCTCTGTAAACACCCCGCGGGATCGCTCCCGCTACGCCTCGGATGACTCCGAGAGCGAGTCAGATGGATCCATCAGCATTCGTCAGATGTCTCTAGGACCATCGGGTGGAAGGTTCTTAAAGGACAAGATCGGACAAGCCAAGATCGACGCCTATAAGGGACAAGCCAAGAGCAACATGCCGCAGAGATCGGCCAGTACCCGCACTGGGCTGGAGGATCAAGAAGAGGGCGATCTAAGTCGGTACTTCAATTCAGCCATGAAGAAGTACGAGGCGGAGCAACGTACAGCTCAGCGAATGAATCGACAGCCAAACCGCTACCCAGATCGACGTACTTTGCTCCAACCTTCACACGAAAGCCTTGACATGCCGGATGTGGAGATGGAGTCGGTGGGGTCGGACATTTACCAACATATCCATGAGGCGGCGGAATACGACCCGGATGATCTATGGATGCCCGAACCACGGCGCCCTCATGTAGCCGCGACCGGTGCGACTACCGGAGGGGGAAGCATCACGCAGAGGATCAGAATCTCAGCGATTTCTGAGCTGAAAGAATTCTCAGGGAAGGATCGGGAAGAAGACAAAGCACGGACCTGGATCGGCAAAGTGAAATCAGCGTTTATCCGGGACCAAGCACCGGACGAGGAGAGATGTCTGGTCTTCGGTGATCTCATGGTGGGCCCAGCCCGCTACTGGTACCGACAGCTGAGTAGATCGACGAGATTCAATTGGAAAGAATTGATGAACAGTTTTCTTGTGGAGTATGCGGGACACGGGATGTCCGCGAGCAGGCAGTACTACCATGCAAAGAAACGATCGGAGGAAGATCCTTTACAGTACCTGTATCGGCTTAATGTGATGGGAATGCAGGCGAAGATACCGGTGATGACTGGATTGCCAGCTGCGCGCAAGGAACATGTCAATCATTTCATTGACACCTTGGACGACCCCGATCTGTCCAATCAATTGCTACTGCTGAATGTAGAAGACGCGGAGGCCATGCAAAAGACACTGCACGGATATCAACAAGGGAGATCGCGTCAAGGGAAAGTGATGATGGGATCGTCCAAATTCAGGCAGAAGGGAACTCAGGGTCCAGCGCTGTCTAAGCCTGCACGAGCGGTAAGGATGGTCCGTACCGAGGACGTCTGCAGCGAGTCAGGATCGGACACCTGCGGATCGGATTTGGAAGATCGATTGAGATCGATCCATGTGGCTGCTACTGCGGATCGCCGTTCATCCCCCAATGACGTTGCAGCAAACGCGAGATCGGTCGACCCGAACACTCGTCAAGACTATCAAGATCGCAATATGCCATTGAAGCCGTGTACTCATTGCGGATCGACCAAGCATGGAGATCTCGGTTGCTGGAAGCGGCTCACTTGCCAGAAGTGTGGGCGTAAAGGACACCCCTCTGACAATTGTTTTTTTCGTGTGTCGTGCTTGCGGTGAGATGCACGACCCGGGGAAGTGTCCCATGGAGGAGTTCTACAACATGATCCGTCAGTGGTACGTCCCGAATAAGCATGCGGGGATGCTACCAGAGAAGGCCGAGAAGATGTTAAACTAGGACGCTCGCCAGGTTTGAATCTGGTACGAGCCGAGCGTTCTGGGCTCTGCATTATTGCATACGTGGAAAAAAAAGAAGACAGATCGCGAGAGTAAGCAGGATATTGACGTGGAAACAAATATATCTCGTTCGAAGTTAAAACGTGTCGCTTCCGTGTCCCATCTGAAGCGGATCGATGAGTACTCACGATCTGAACCAGCTATGGAGATCGAGCTCGCTTATGGTGAATCTCGCGGATACTGGAAACATTATTCACCCGGGAAGTGGTTCAAACAAGCGAAAGCCGTTGGCAAGATCAACAACGTAAAAGCTACTCTGTTATTTGATTCTGGTGCTGAAGTGTCGATCATTGACACCACCTTTGCTCGTGAGGTCGGTTGCAATATTGACGAAAGTCAACGACAAGAATGTATCGGGATTGGAGAAACTCCGTACATGACGGTAGGACGTACCAAGATCAAGGTGACCCTCGCGGGATCGCTGGTATACTATTTCAATGTATGGGTAGGCGATCTGGCAGGGCAAGAAGCGATTCTGGGTATGGATTTTATGGTGCCTGCTGGAGTGCGGCTCGATCTAGCGGATGGCGCGCTATGTCTACCAGAAGAAATCCGCATTCATCTCGCAGGACGTCGCCCCGCGTACGGATCGAAGATACAACATATAACGGCGAAGGACCAACACGTGGTGATCCCGGTCGGAGAGTCAAGGGAAGTGAAGATCGGGATCGGAGGGGCTAAGATGAAGTTGTGGGTCGCTAGAGGACTAGATTGGGTCCCCACTGTGATCTCGGGGTGGGGTAAGACGAAATACCTGCAGATGACCAACATTGGCGACCGTGAGATCATACTGCCCACCCACACTATATTAGGCATGTGGGTCGAAGGCGATATGGTACCGCGAACCCAAGGTTTGGTGACAGTCGGGTCGGGGAAGTACAAGGAATGGCAAACTCTGGCATATGAGGCTACGACGGATCGAGTGAACGAACTCCCGAAAGAACCGATCGGACCATTGGTAGATCGTCCTACGTATGCCGCTCCCAAACGCATCTTGAAACGTCCGTCTGATGCGTTACAGAACCTGTCTCCGGCGATCTCCACGGTAACGCCGCAAGCTAACGATGACGATTCGCAAAAGGCAGATGCTGTAGTTGCGAGGGAAGTAACGGTCAGGGGAGCCGAACTATCGCGGATGGAGAACGGTCATGAGATCGGTACCCAACATGCAACGAAGGGAGACCGCGACACCGGGCAAGAAGGGCTACGTGACAGATCGTCTCTACCGAAGGCTGAGCCGACTGACCGACTGTTGAAATTGGGCCAGCCGGAAGAGACGAAGGAGCCTAAAGAAGAAATAATGCTAAATACTGAAGACGTCGAGATTGCAGAAATACCAGTTTATCACCACGAGAGCGGAGATTTGTTTGCGGAAGATATCGAGCAGCATATGGCCGTGCTACCAGAGATGTCGGCGACTACGGAAGAAGTTACGATTGAGGACATTCAGATCGGTGATCCCGATGTGCCTCTCACCACAGATCAACAACGGCTCAGATCGCTGATCTGGAAGAGCCGTCACCTCCTCATGGGTAAAGGTAATGCTCTACCACCAGCAGCACGAGGCGCGATCTGTGATATTGATGTCGGTGGGGCAGCACCGATAGCGCAAAGAGTGCGTCCGGTCGCACCCAAATATCGGGAGAAGCTGTCAGATCTCATCAAAGGACTATTAGCAGCCAAAATCGTTCAGCCATCCACGTCACCTTGGGCGTCTCCGATAGTGGTGATCATCAAGAAGAACGGAGTGGATATTCGCCTTTGCATTGATTATCGAAGAGTGAACCAGCTGACGCGTCTGATGGTTTATCCCATGCCGTTGATCAGCGATCTGTTGGAAGATCTGGATAAAGCTCTATGGTACTGTTCGCTAGACATGGCTAGTGGATTTTGGGTCGTCGAAATGACTGAACGAGCAAAACTGATCTCAGCGTTTGTCACACCGTTTGGCTTGTTCGAGTGGCTGCGAATGCCTTTTGGGCTTAAGAACGCGCCCCAGATCTACCAACGTCTGGTGGACAATGCGTTGTATGGATATCTCAAGATCGGCCAGAGATCAGCTTCTGATGGCCCGATCGACGTGTTCAAAGATGGAGAACCTGAGACAGATCGACGACCGTCTATACTGGGACGCCGATCTTACATTGACGATATTCTCATACCAGCCACGTCATGGGGATCTTTGTACACAAAAGTAGAACGGTTGCTGGAGGCATGTGATAAGTGGAATCTGTCTATCAGCCTCACGAAGAGCTTTTGGGGGTGCCGTAAGGTCGATTATTTGGGACATCGAGTGTCGATGGATGGTCTGGAGGCTCAGCCCAAGAACCTAGAGTCGTTGGTTAACATCCCGTTTCCTAGCACGCTACGAGCTATGCAATCCTTTCTCGGGAGCTTGAACTACTACCGTCGCTTCATTGAGGATTTCGCGGTGTATGCCGCGGTGTTGTATGAGTTAAGAGAATCGGATTTCTTCGAGATCGGCCGATCTCAGCTTGCAGCAGGAGACGAATGCTCCAACGAGGGTCGATGGACGGAAGCCAAGGTTGCTTTCACTATGCTAAAAGCTAAGATAGCTACAGCTCCCATGCTCAAGCATTTCGACCCAGATCGGTCCCCCGTAATCGTGGTCTACGCTAGCAAGTGGGCTGTCTCAGCGGCCCTGATACAGGAGTACGATGGCGTGTACCATCCGGTGACGTTTACTAGCCGCACTTTAAAGCCTAATGAGCTTAACTACGGAACGGTAGAAAAGAAGTGCTGGCGCTACTTCGTGTGTTGGATGTATGCTATACTACGCTTGCCTCGCGGGAGATCACTGTACTGACCCGACATTCTACGTTAGCCTGGTTGATGCAGTCTCGAGGGCTCAACGGGAGATTAGGACGGTGGGCTGCTTTGTTGTCAAATTGGACTATGGAGGTGAAGAAATGTGAAAGAGGAGAGGAAGAGATCCTGGGCATGTTAGCAGCGAGTATCACTCCGAGAGGAGAAGTGGAAGAGATGCTGATTGCGATCTCCCCACGAAAAGACTGTCGACTCAAAATATCGATGCCTCCTCCAACGGTGGAAACAGATGAGGAGTTGCTGGTGGCCAGTTTCGATGGATCGGCTAGGATAAAAAAAGAAAGGAGGGTCGTTCAGTGCCGTGATATGGAAGTTACCCGAATGGACGATCGTGGCGGCCGAATCGAGATATGTTCACGATCTGACTGTGAACGAAGCTGAGTATAATGGCTTGCTACTGTGCTTTGAGTTACTCGCCGGTCTGGATAGGGGGCGAGTAATACTGTGTGGAGATTCCAGTCTGGTGATTCGACAGATGCGCGGTGAGATCGACTGCAAGGCACCGGGCCTTCAGCTTCTGAGACACAAAGCGTTGGAGAAGCTGCAGTCATGGCCTAGTCACGAGTTTCTGCATATGAAGCGAGAGTGGAATCAGAGCGCAGATCGACTAGCCAGCACAGCATTGCAGAGCGAAAAGGGAAGAACGGTTGTAGCTGAAGAGGATCGGCAAGATCTGATGACTCTGAACCGTCTCGATGAATTGTTGAAGCCCAAGCAAGATGGTCAGCTAGCTCGGGTAACTGCGATCGCGAGATCAGCCAGGAGGATACGTCATGAACCTGAAGTGATACAGGAGGAGATAGTACAGAGGATCAGGATTCAACGAATTGTCCAAGCTCAAGATGAAGAGCGTTGGATTGTCAATCTCAAGACATATCTAAGTGGCGATGTATCAAACTTGGATGCGGTAGAAGTGAAGATGTGCGCCAAACTGGCGCCGGAATACGAGATCGATGAGAACAATCTGCTATTTTTTTGCCCCATGGCGAAAAGAGAGTCGGAAGATCGCGATGGTTTGATGCGGTTGGTGATCCCTGAGACGTTGCAGCAGGATTTTTGCATCACTATCACACGAGTCTGGAAGGAGGCCATCAGGGTATTGGCCGAACCTATCAGAGGATCAGATCGCGATTTCATTGGAGAGGACTGTATCGGAGCGTTCAACGATATGTGGGCGAATGTACCGACTGTGAGACCGGGAAAGGAAACCCGATGATTCATGGGAAATCCCCGGGCAATCTACACGCAACCTATCCATTCCAGATCATCGCCATGGATCATATACCGTCGTTGCCCAAGTCCATCAAGGGGAACACCGAACTGCTCATTTGGGTCGACCTTTTCTCGGGATATGTGATTGCAAAGGCTAGCTCCTCTCGGACGGCACAAACAATAGCGGAGAATTACGAAGAATGTGTGTTTCGACGCTTCGGAGCTAGCAAGGCTATCAGGCACGATCGAGAACCGGGATCTATGTCCGACTTCTTTCGAGCCTTCAGCCGGATCGTAGGACAAAAACAGCGTGCTACTATGGCTTACAGGCCACAAGCAAATGGAACAGCCGAACGAATGGTGCAAACCCTGACACATTCGCTCAAGATGTATGTGGCTGAAGTTGATCAGCGAGACTGGGATGAGTATGCTGAGCGGCTCACATTTGCCATTAACACTGCACAAGATCGGATCCGGGGGGATACCCCGTTTTATCTGATTCATGGGTGGGACCCACGATCGACTTTGGAGGCTACGCTACCAGTGGGGAATACGGGGACACGAGATCGCGATCCAAAGAGGTGGAGATACAAAATCCAAAGACAATACCAGCGAGCCCGATCTGCAGTGAATGATCGTTTACAAGCCGCGATCCAGGAGCGAGCAGATCGACACAACGAAGATCTGGAACCACACGAGATCGAAGTAGGAGCGCAAGTTTGGCTATACCTGGACCGAGTTAAAGAGGGATATGCGAAGAAGCTAGCGCACATGTGGCATGGGCCATTCCGAGTTGCGGACGTATGTGGAGATCATGCTGTAAAATTGGAGATCGCTGGAACCCCATATCGGTTATTTCCGATTGTACATATATCGAAGCTAAAAAGGTAAAGACGTTCCCTGAACGCCCGAAGGATCAGCTTACGATAGAGGAATCAGATCGCTTGGATTTCGATGAAGCTCTGCTGCCAGAAGACAGTTGGGATGGCGATCTTGAAGAAGGGGAATACGAAGTAGAGGCAATATTGGACGTGCGATCTGGTAGAAAAACCCGTTATGGGCGAGTACACCGGCAGTTTCTGGTGAAGTGGAAGGGATATCCCGATCTAAGTTGGGTGGACGAGGCCGATCTAAGTTGTGGGGCGATCTTGCAAGAGTTTGAGCGGAACCGAGTGAGTCGAAACCGTTTCGACGTAATGCAGTCTCATGAAGGCGAGTTGGACGAACCTTAACAGTTCGAACAAGTATGCGGGAGGTAGCATATGCGGATGTAGGGGTTGAAAGATGTGCTAGACGGTAGCACATGCTGGTGGATGAGGTTTTTGTATGTGAGTATGGAGATAGTCAAGTGAATTACCTTCCTGAATGATGTGGAGCGATGAGGATCGAGATCGTGGAAGCTGCAAAGAATTGAAGTACCAAAAAGAAGATGATTGAATGACTTACACGATTATGAAAGACGATCGGGCTTGGATATCGACCTTGGACTAAGACGATGGAGCAGGTTTGAACTTGTCCTGCAGACGAGGGATCTGCGATCCGGGATGATCTAGATGGCGCGGAGACCCAGGCCGATCGGGGACCGCTGGGGTGTGTCCTCCGAGATCGGGCGATCCGGGCGACAGGTCGCGATCCGGAGACAGAAACATGGTATCCTTCTGAAGAGATCGGCGAGGTGGGTGGATGCGTCGGAGAGACCATGAGACGGACTTGAGTGCTTGGAACGAAGTTGATGAGTGACTGTACTGAGGTCGATTGCTGTACAAAAGACTTCAGTACAGGGGGCGGTTGTGGCAAAGTCACTACTCAAATTTTGTACGAGGGTCGGTGACCACATCTTTAAAGCGCCGCTTACTGGTGGAAAAGGAGGCCATGAGACTCGGCGATCCAATACGGAGGTGGAAGATGATCTTAACGGGATCGGCGAACCGATCCAACTGTCGTTAGACTAATGGGTATGGATCGACCTGGGACGGAGCGATCTGGAACGATTTACATGGAACAATCTGGGACAAGGATCTGGGACCGGGTGATGGGATATGACTCTGCGACGAAGGTGTAACTGTGGTAAAGTCACTAATCAAATGATGGGACGTGGATCGGTTTCCACCCAGTTAAGATGTCACCCACTGGCGGAAGAGGTACGCCTAGGACCAGGCGATGCAACGTGATTTGAGACGGGGCGTAGAAAGGGGTGATTCCAGATTCAAAGCGATATCGGTTTGAAGAGTGATCTATAGTTAAGAATAGGCTTAAGGGTAGGTTGGATAGTAATTTAGTTGGTTAATAAACAGACTTGAACTCTACTTCTTCTGCTCACGACGCACGTTATCCTCCCCTCTTCTCCAGGCAAGATTGATTTGGCTTCCCCGGCGGGTTAAGGCACGCGTGTTACAGGGACACAGAAGACCGATCTTGGATTGTTGGCCAAGATCGAGAAGAGCGATCCCGGGATATCTGGCCCGGATCGATCAAGTACTCACACTCAACTCAACTGCTAGGGTAGCAGCACACAACGGAAAAGGAAAAGGAATTTGGACACAGGATCGCGAGACGGCTCAAGTGGTCAGAAGATCTAGACAAGGCGTTCAAGACAAAACCGAGCAGGATCGAAGCGATCCCCTGGACAGATCGGCACGTTTCATTTTGGCGAAACAAGACACCGATCTACCCAAATTGCGCACTTCCGGCAAGATCGGCCGATCCCAAGACCAGATCGGACCGATCCCAAGGCAAGATCGACGCAGGACTTTTATTTGCTGAGTGAAGATTTCCGCACAGCAAAGACCCCGATCTCGAAGACAAATCAAGATCGGTGCGATCCAAGATCGGGATCGCAGAACCCCCGTTCGTGGTGTGAAGATTTCCGCACCGGAAGCGAACCCTCAACCCAACCTCTCAGCGAGATCGACATCTCCCAAGGCCGTTACGAAGAGCTCAAGCCAGCCCAGCCGACGGGCACACAAGGTGAGCACAAGGTCATACAACAAGGCACGGATCGGAGTACCCCCTCCGTGAGTCGGCAAGTCTGGGCAAGTGGAAGATCGACACTCATACAAGCAATTTTGTGAGATCGACTTCACCACAAGTTTGTCTGCATGAAAAGTCGGAGAGTGAAGATTGCATCAAGAAGTGTTGCATAGTTACGAGCACTTGAAGAGAAGCTTGGAGCACGAAAGATGTCTTTGCATAAATGTGAATATGACTTGAGTGGAGGAGAGAATGCTTGGAAGTTACTGTTTTATATGCCTTAGCTCTTCTTACTCTAGACTGTATCTAATCTTATGTTTCATCTAATCAATCTGATTTGTGTGCGTCCAATCGCTCTGCTCGTCATATCACTAAGTGACGCCATCGATATGACGTCATAGACGTACCAAAATGACGCGAGGTCGGATTGGGCAGGGTAACTGATACAAATTACCTCAATCGATAACCCGCAATACTCCCTATCAATGCGAAAACGCTTGAATACAGACAGACACCGTCATGTCTTTGTGGCGTGGTCGTGGACGTCCCTTCGTCATGATTTCCGCCAGCATTATTGCAGTCTCCCAATACTCCAGCTTGACTTATCCACGATTGACCTCATCACAGATGCGATGGTAGTTCTACTACCCTGAATTTAGAATCATTAAATTATAAACCTCTGTTCAAGGTTTCTCGTCCACTCCAAACAAGTTTTTTTGATCGTCTGTGGACAGGCAGCAAAAAAGTACACCGTTTCATTCGAAAATTATCAAGCCCAGCACATCACTCGGAGGGCTAAGTATTATTGGAGTCGAGGGATAACCTAAACATACGGTTTAAACAAATGGTTAGATTCCGTGCTAGCGAACCCTGAGGCTATAATTTAGCTGATTTTACATAGATTTTATTTTAGGAGTGGCAAAGGGTTGAGTGGTTCTACATGAATTTATTCACTTTATAGTGCTCTGATCATTGACTTTGCTAAATTGTATCGGGAAAATATATAATTTATGTAACTCTCGACATATTCTATTATTTCAAATTGGCAGGGATCACAGTCCTAGAGAGTGATCGACGACCAGGAGATCAACGATGGATTAAAAAGAGATTGAACAAGGAGATCGATGATTGGGGAGAGCGGCGTTTGGGGAGATCGATGATCAACCGAGGAGATCGACGATCGGGTAATGAGATTAGATTTCACCCAAGGATATTGAATGTTGTTCAAGGAGATCGATGATCTACCTGAAGTGGACCAAGTATGCGAAGAAACGATCAATAGAATGTATGAGACATGTAGCAGCATATACTGGCGTATAGACAGGCACATTTATAGTTTTAGCTTTTGTTTGGTTGACATTAAACACAATTCTATTTGCTTCTTAGTAAACGTGTTGACGTCCCTTCCGGACTTGAATATTGGCCTCCCGACGTCAAGAAAACCGCATATACTGAAGTTAAGTGTATTCCAGGATAATTGAGTGGGGATCAAGAATTCTAGAGACAGCCCCAACTGCAATTGAGCACAGCAAGACTGTAAAGGACATGGCGCAAGATTGTGAGACAGCTCAAGTGGTCAGAAGACTCGCGAATCAAGAATCCGCATAGTGGACAAGGCGATTTTGTTGAGATTTAGGTGGCTCACATCGAAAAACCTACGAGTATACCCGTGATCGTGTGAAGGTTTCCGCGATATTACGAATTCCATTCTCAACACGGTCAAGTTTTCTTTCGACACAAGTCCACCGAGAAGATTGCAGCCCGCCCATCCTACAGGTACACAAGGTGAGGAACAAAATACAAGGTAAAGAAACGGAGTTCCCTCGCCGATATTCGGTCGTCTGGGGCCAGTGGAGAGTCGGAAACGCCTCATAAAATAAGCGATTGCCACCCCACCACAATTTCTTGTGTACGACGCCACCATAACCCGATAGATAATTATATTTGCTAACTTACAGGAAATGTGTCTACTGAGTCTAAGACTTGGTAAAACTAGACCAAGTAGTCATGAGCTACAAGTTATGAGTTAGCTGCCATAGAAAGGAAAAAAGGTAATCTTTATACATTGTATGAGTATTGAGCTATGAGGAAATGGGTCATTTTGAGGAGTGACTGTACGTGTATGTAGAGAACCCTCTAACACACAAGGTACACTTCAGGTCATAATGATACGGCTAACCACATTGGTGCTCATAATTTCATAAATAATGCGAGCTAGACAATTAAGGGGATACATATCGTAGAATTCTCGGTATATTGTGTCTTAGACACAATGTAATAGAGGCAATCGATTACATAAGTAGTTATAGCGATTATTCATAGTTGGGTAAGTAGGCATAGTCAGTATCTGATTAGCGGGTACTGCGTGTCGTATTGTTTTTGGTCGATTATGAAGTACCTAGTACGATCAAAAGACAAAAAAACAGAGTCAATTTTACCTCATAGAATAACAGCGCTTCCATAAAGTCCATAGTGTAAGAAGGTAACGGTAAATCTCACCCCGTTACACCTGATAGCACTTCGTAGTCTTTTCAATGACCATATTTGAGATGAACATGAACGAGTTTTTGGAAGCTCCAGCGGTGTTGCTGTAACATGTGGCCTCACTAAATTACGATCGTGGAATGGAAAGCGCTATAACTTCTCGCGAAGGTGTCTGGTGAGTTCTCTGTAGCGTTGCTACTGCACAGCGACGCCCAAACAACATCGTGAAGCCATTCAAAACTACCGGGTACGCGAGCTCGCCAATGCGAATTGGCTAGTACCGACTTCCTCGCGCCACAACGCTGTCAAGATGAAGACTTCATCATACTATGGAGATAGCCCGGATTGCTTCCAGTTTAACCGCTGGTTACGCAAGATAGATATCGCGATCTCGTCAAAGTTGATTGACGCGCCGACGTCCCTGGTGTATTTTTCTGCTGTCTAGGATCGCTGACAAGGCCAAATGATGGGCTCGAGGGAAGCTCGTCGTCGACGAGTTGGCGTTCTCTACGCTGGTTTCCATCCAGTGCGACTTACGACTGGCATTCAAGACTCCTCAAGATGAGAAGCGGCTGCGTGCAGACTTCTTCTCGCTTCGACAGAACAAGCTATCGATGCTTCGTGATTACGTGCAGAATACACGTCACCTTGCTTCGTGCATCATGACGCAGCCGATCGACATGGCATCACAAGTCCATGTCCTCATCTTCGGTATACAGGAGGGCATGACGCGTTACTGCCTCACACTTGCTGAATTGAAGACCCTCAATGATGCATA